CCTACATACATACATACAAACAAACATACATACATACATACATACATGCATAAATACGTACATACATACATACATACATACACATACATACATACATACATACATACATACATACATACATACACACACCTACATACATACACACACATACATACATACACACATACATACATACATGCATGCATGCATGCATGCATGCATGCATGCATGCATGCATGCATACACATACTGCAATGTATTCTCCAAATCCTCAACCTGCAAATCCCTTCCGTGCCAAAGAGGGTTATTTTTTTTGTATTGAGGGAGGTGTCAATAGGAATTTGGGTTTTGGGCAAGCCCTCGGGTGTGTCAATTTCGTGAAACCCTAGCCATGGCTTGAAAGTCAGGTGTTTCGAGGCTTAGGCCGTCAGCTCTGGAAACATCCAGACGGGATTAGGTCGGAACTTAAGGTTTGTCGTGTTTACGGTCCCTGCTACACATACCATCCAGACCTTGCCGTGAAAGGTAGTAAGGAGCTGATGGAGATCCCAACCACGGGATTTGGGCGCATAGTGGATACTCAGCCGGATATCGAGTTGGGCGATGATTGCATGCTGTGTCTGATGGAAGATGTCAAAACATGAGGCCTCAGCATTTTTTTTGCGGGGGTTTGGGTCGAGGGATTTATGGAATTGCGGTTTGGGTGTGAGGAGCTCAAGCAAGCAGCGAGGAGTTTTGACCTGCAGTGATTCCTGCGATACATCCTAGGCGCTACACCCTCTCAGAAGATTTAGCCACTCATAGTCTCAGCTGTGATGCAACTTTCGGCAACATGGCAGTTTCAGCAAATATAGAATATGAATGTAGAACCGCAGTAGTATGATCCGGATCTAGGTAATGTACCCCTCTGTTTTGAGGCCATCACATGATTGGTGTTTGAGGATATCAGAGCAGGCTTTGACCTACCTAAACAACAAGTGCAACGCACCGAACAAAAAGCTATCTAAACCCTGAACCCTAGAGCCCTAAATCTTAAATTTCTATACCCTAAACCCTAGAACCCTAAAGCCCTAAAAACCCCAAACCTCAAAACCCAGACTCGTTTCCTGAACTCCACATAAGCGCTTGAACAACCAGCAGTATTGATACCTAGAATATTTGTACCTATAGTCTCCATTGTAGTTCCTTTTTTTGGTTTAACCAGTTATATATTCAGGATATTTAAGCTATCCCCAAAAAGGAACTACAATGGCGACTCCAGGTACAAAACCCAAGAAGCCTTGGTCCATTTATTCGGGCCTCTATATGAGGCCAAAGCTTGGGATCAACATGGTTGGTATTAATTAGCCCTGAGCTCTGGATGCAGGTACCGCAACATGGTTGTTGTGGAGCGCGAGTCTGGGCGAGCCACTCGAAAAGAGCAGCCCCCCCTCCCCAGTTAGGACACACATCGCTCTACCTCTTTAGACCTCTTTCACCCGATGCCTAAGACCCAGTAAGCTCCAAATATAATATGGGGGCCTAAATAGTTAGAACAATTAGAACACGGTTTTGGGATATGCTATACGATAAATATACTAAGTATCCCCCAAAAACATTATAGGTACTTTTTTAAGGCCCCTATAGTAACCCAGAGATCCTGTGGCCCTGGAACAGTGCGAGCCGTTACGCTAAGAGGCGCCAGTAGAGAGTGGCGACGTGCGCCCAATCAGGGTTGGTTAAGATTAGGGTTTAGGGTTTAGGGTTTCGCTGGCCGATAGACTATAGATCTGGACGATTCCCTTTGTAGTGTTGCTTCTTTGTACCACCTCCAACTCGCTACCCATAGGCCCAATAGTAGTTCCTTTTTGTGGCTTATATGTAGGATTCTATTAGGGAAGCCCAAAAAGGAACTACTACGGGGCCTATGGGAACCCAAAACCCTAAACCCTAAACCCCTAAACCCTAACCCCTAAACCCTAAACCCCTAAACCCTAAACCCTAAACCATCAACGGTTCTTGGTTTTCTTCAGCTTGCACCCAGGTTCTGCAGAGCATGCTGAAGGAGCAGATCTCGGTGCGCCTGTACAAGGACCATGCGTCCTTGGGTTTAGAGCTTACCTATAGTGTAGGGTTTAGGGTTTAGGGTTTAGGGTTTAGGGATTAGGGTTTGGTGTACCTATAGTCTCCATTGTAGTTCCTTTTTCGGGTTAACCAATTTTTATGGTTAGGGTCCTATAATATAAATTTGGTTAACCAGAAAGGAACTACAATGGAGACTATAGGTAGGGTTAGGATTTCGGGTTCAGGGTTTATGTTGCTTGGCAATCGAAGGGTTTTCCGGGATTCGGACAGCATGCCTGGATTTGGACCCGCAGAATCGAAAAACCTTGACAAAATCCAACGCACTACGCTGCTAACCACTTTACATCTACAGCAACAAGACCTCGAATGCAGATCCTCCCAAAGAAGCTACACGGCAAAAACACAAGCCATGCCGCCTCGCCAGGTGTGCGCGTGAGTTTCATGGAAGTTTCTGTTGAAACCTTATCACAGCAAGGTCCTTCACAGAAGCCAGCGAAACAAGCAGTAGCAGGAATTCGCATGGTCTTGTAGCGGGCGCTTCTGTCTCAGGAGCATTATGCCACTACCATCACAAAAACAGTCACAACTTAGCATGACAGTAGTCACTATTTCAAGCCGGGTTAAGGGTTTAGGGTATAGGTCTCAATGATACTGAATGTCAACCCTAAACCCTAAACCCTAAACCCTAAACCGTCACTGAATGTACCACTTTTCACTTTTCACTTTACCGTCTGTGGCAACAGTGACTGTCGCAACGGAGCGAGAGGCTCTCCCCAAGTGCCTCCCTCGTTCGAGCTTACTCCAACACTGCACCCTCATGCACCACTGTTGGGCACAACAGAGCTCGGGCCCCAACAGTACTACCACTCGCCGGATTCGTACTAGCGGCACCCACGTAATTAACACAGGAACTGGCACTGTCTCACTTGCGAGCGATTTCGGTGAGTTTGTCAACCAACGCCTGCAATTCACGAGACATGCCGCTGGCAGGTGCTTGACCCTTCTTCTCAACAGCGCCTGTCGCGAGAACTCCTGCAGACACGGCCTCGAGCAGACCATGATGAGCTGGGCTGACTGTGAATGTACCACTGCTTGCGAATGCTCGTAGGCAAGCAACATCTGATCCTGGCGCGCGTTGGCGATCGGCAGATCGAAAGTATGACCTTGCAAGTATTCAGTGGCAGAGTCAGGGTTTACCCATAGGCCCCATAGTAGTTCCTTTTTTGGGATTCCCTAATAGGATTCTAAATAAATGAATCCCAAAAAAAGGAACTACTTTAGGGCCTATGGGTGCGGCTTAATATTTCTTTCCAATATGAAGCGGGAAAAAATGAAGGCCGTCCCTTTCAGTGTCTTTTTTATAACGGTGCCGTACTCTCTTGGGGACCCCAAAAGAGGGACCCTAATTTAGAGGACTACCCAGAAGCCGAGCCCCACAATCCCCAAATCCTGAGCCCTTGAAGGGCTGGGGCTTTGGGTCGACCAGGGCTTGAGATTTGCTGACAGGGTTGAGGGTTTAGGGTTTAGGGTTCAGGGGTTTAGGGCTTTTGAGAGTTTAGGGTTTTGGGTTCAGGGGTTTAGGGCACAGTGTTTAGCGTTTGGGGCCTTTGAGAGTTTAGGGTTTTGGGTTCAGGGGTTTACGGCTTAGTGTTTGCATCGCTTTAGGGATTTTGGGCTTGCTAGACGGATGTGGCAAGCCCCACGCTGGAGGACAGCCGGAACTACTTCTTCACGAAGCACAAGTCCATTGCGGTGCCTCTGTACTGGAGGCAGCGACCTTTGATACGACAGGCAATGTCAACATCTTTAACACTAGCGGCTGCAGGAAAGCCAAACTTGAAATGCTACCCCATATCAAAGATGATACGCAGAAACAGCAGAAACAGAGTACCTACGAGCGTACGAGTTGCAGTGCTGGCGCTAGTGACAGAGTCGCAGTAGTCGTCGCGGGATGACGACATACTGCTGCTGAAACCTTGAAGGCCCAAATCCAGAAGGCTAGGATCCCCTTTAGGGTGCTGGGTTTAGGGTTTAGGGTTTTAGGGTTTTAGGGTTTAGGGCTTTAGGGGTTTAGAGCTTTAGGTGTTTAGGGTTTTGGGGTTTTGCGGTTTAGGGTTTTAGGCTTTAGGGTTTAGGGCCAAAGCCCGAAGTGCAAACACCAAGGATGGACACCAAGAATGCAACAGTGGCTGAGCGACAGCTGCCAGCGGCCTAGACACCCTTTGCTGAGGTTTGGGAAGTTTAGGGATTGTAGGGGCTGCTTTGTTTTTTTTATTAGAGCCCTGTCATAACATGTGCTCCAGCATGTTACCTCGCAGTTGGTTTCTACTGGACTGATGTATCCCTGCCGTATAGGAAGATAGCCGCGTGTGGGGCCAGGGAACTCCGAAGCTGCGTTTAGGGTTCAGGGTTTTGGGTTTAGGGTTTTAGGGTTTTAGGGTTTTAGGGTTTAGGGTTTAGGGTTTAGGGTTTTAGGGTTCAGGGTTTTGGATTTAGGGTTTTGGGTTTTGGGTTCGACATCGAAATCGGTCATAGGCTAACTAGCGGCTTACAATGGCACTAAAGTATGGGAGTCCGCAGTGAGTCTGGCCTTTTGGGCGGATGTGCTGGTTGTGAGATTGCGGAAAGGACGAGTTTGAGTCCGAAATGCGCTAGGGTTTAGGGTTTAGGGTTTAGGGTTTAGGGTTTAGGGTTTAGGGTACCTTTCTACAGCGGGACACAGCACCGCCGGGCGTGCCTCCAGGCCCGCCTTGCGCGCTTGGCCATCTAATCTCTTCAATCTCAGCGCAAGAGCCCCATAGTGTCACTGCAGAAGTTACCTGAAGCAATGCAGTTTATGAGGAATTGACGGCTCCAGCTTTGAGCCAGCCCAGGCAACACATCACAAGAAGCGAAACTTGGTTACGAAGCTAAGCAGAATCCCCACGAGTGCCAACCTTGGCTTGACTTACGCTGTTGATGCAATGAAGTGTTGAATGCCGGGTGCAGCTTCCAAGGAGGTTGAGTTGTGAATGTTGCATGCTCAGCTTCCCAACTTTATGAATATCGAACGGTTTAGGGTTCAGGGTTTAGGGGTTTAGGGCTTACCCTAAACCCTAAACTCTAAACCCTAAACCCTAAATCCTAAACCGGGCTTGGGGCACATAAGGAACAGGTCGCTGTATGTCGGCTCCGGGCTTCAGGCAGTGGCGGTTACAAAGGTCCATATCGGCGCAAATGCACCGCCAAGAAGAAGGGTTTAGGGTTTAGGGTTTAGGGTTTAGGTATATCCTGAACCCATAAGAATTAACCAAACCCCCAAGCCCTAAACCCGAAGCCCCTGAAACGCTAAACACAACATAAACAAATAAGTGCATGTATATATACATATACATATAGATATGTGTATGTATGTATGTATATATATATGGGCATATATATATATACACACACCTATATCTCTCTGTCTATCTAACTACCTATCTATCTATGTATCCATTTATCTACCTACCTATCTATCTACTTATCTATCTGACCGTCTATCTATCTATCTATCTATCGATCTATCTATCTATCTATCCGTCTATCTATCTATCTATCTGACTATCTACTTATCCATCTGTCTATCGATCGATCTAATCTGTCTAATCTACCTGTCTAACTATTTGTCTATCTATCTATATACCTATCTATCTATCTGCCAATCTGTCTATCTATCGATATTCCATCTTTCTGTCTTGCTATGTATCTATCTATCTATCTATCTATCTATCTATCGATCTATATATATCTCTATCTTGCATTATCTATCTATCTATCTATCTATCTATCTATCTACCGTTCTACTTATCTTTGTTGTCTATCTATGTATCTATCTATCTAGCTATCTATCTGTCTATCTATGTATCTATCCATCTGTCTATCTACCTACCTCTATATATGTAGATATTATGCTTCAATATATGTGTATATATATATATACATACATACATACATACATACACGTACATACACCCCGAAGCGCCGAACCATAGGCTGAGCTCACTGCAGAGCACCTTCCGTGGCCTGGATGCTGGCTTCTTCGCATGCATGATCCTCGGGGCCGGGCGCCCAATTTTAGTATGTGATACATATCTACATTACTTATATATATATATATACACATGCATATATATATATATAGTACTATCATATTCTGGTATTATACTGTATTATACTATATAATGTTATGTTATAGTTTAGTATAGTATATTATAGTATAGTATATGTATATATATATATATATATTATGTATATATATATATAATAATAATAATAATAATAATGATAATAATAATAATGATAATAATAATAACAATAATAATAATACTAACAATTTCTCTCCTCATGGGTCTCTCGGGTTAGTACAGGCAACCTGCAAGCAGAGTCGTGCCTGAAGTATATTGGAGTAGAGTTGTGTAGGACTGTAGGGCTATAGCATCAGTTTCTCCCCTAAGAATCCATGTGCAACTTGCGCCTTAAAGTACCTATATAGGAACCCCCTGGCTAAATATAGATCAGCCCTAAACCTTAAACCCTAAACCCTAAACCTACACGTACATGGAGCCTTTTGGTCTGTGAGCCTAAGTTGTTCTCCTTGGGCCATGGCTCCCAGACACACCGCAGTCCAGGGCCAGGGTATGTAGGGGTTTAGGGGTTTAAGGTATTGGGATTTAAGGTATAGGGTTTTGGCTCGTTTTTTTTGTTATGGATCCCATGTTGCTGGCCGAAACTAAAGTTCCAGACCGCTGATGCTTTAGTTGGGTGGTCCATTGCTGGCAGGGACTGATCAGGCCCGCTTCGTAGGCAGCAGTGCCTTGCCTCGCCCTTTCAGCGCCACCCGCGATCCCTAAGGGCCCATGTACTTAATGGTCAAAACTCTCCCAAATATTAACTTATAGATAACTACTATCCGATATCCACAACCAAACTACCTTAAACCCAAAACCCCTAAACCCCTAAACCCCTAAACCCTAAACCCTAAACCCCTTACTCTTGGGTCCTTTGGACCCTTAAGGAGTCTTCAGTCAGGGCTTCGGCGCCGAAAAAAGGTCACCCTTAGCCAACAAAGACAACGGGCTGCTACCTTGAACGACCATAACCTGTTGTTTTTGGTAAGTTCCTAAAGAACTTATATCAAGTAAAGGCTCATAATAAGAACCTGCAGAAAACGTCGGTTGTGGGTTCAGGTGGGGTTTAGGGTTGCCTTTGTAGCCCAAGCCCCTGTTTTCCAGCGGGTCTTTGCTGGTCGACGCAGCATCTTGGCCCAGTGCCGGGCATGGCGACTTCTCGCGAGGTGCCTTCGTTCTGAACCATCCTCGTGGCCAGCAGAAACCCTAAACCCTAAACTCTGAACCCAGCAGCTTTTGGCGCTGGGTAGTTTAGGAACCGGATTAAGAAACCCTGAGTCTTTATTGGGGATCTGTATACAGATCCTCTGATCGGGTTCCTACCGTAGCAGATCCGGGACGATGACACTGGCAGATCTCGAGCCTCTGGTGCAGCAAGCGCCCGACCAGCAGATCATGGTCACGGAGGATCAGAAGCAACAGTTGGCATGTATTCTGTCGCGGCCCCTCTATACCTGCCTGTCCTGCGGGGTCACAATGCCAGAAAAGGCCGAAAGGCTGCGACATGGTTACTTTTCGGAGATAGGGGCCTCGGTGGGGGAAGACGAGATGGGCTGGCCTTCTGTGGAGCCATACATGGTACATTATGAGGGCTATCCCCGCACCGGGGGCAAAGCCGCGACCATGTCTGAAATCGAGCAATTCCAGCGTACCGCCATCTTCTTCAACCTGGTCTTGTGTGAATCGAGTGAACATATACGCAAAACGGGCTGTAGCACTGCACTGGATCTGTTCTGCGTGAACTTCGCGGGCTGCTGCGGTGGCGCACCCAGCAGCGCAGACGCAGAGTTGCTCAGGTCGTCGCTGGACGACAACTTCTTCAACGAAATCTTCAATGCACACTTTGGCGGCACCATGCTGCGTGCCCCTCTTCCAAGCGAGGCAACTTGGGGAGATGCCGTGGTTTGCGACCTTCGGGAGTCCTTGCAGGGCTTTGAGCTGCGCGAGGGCCACGTCTACCACCCTTGCCGGGTCGTCTTCCGCCAGAGGAACGAAGGCCTCGTGGTGGAAGCCATCGTGACAGGAGGCACCGGGAGCCCCGAGACGGCGTACCGCCCTGACACCGGCACCCCCGAGGAGTGGCTTTGGGCGAAGCGTCAGGCCGTGGCGGGAGCACTCCAGCGCCATCAGTACCAGGAGCTGCGTAGAAGAGGTCTCCAAAACGGTGTATGGGTTCGGGGTTGTCCCATCTCGCCTATCCTGGCACACATGTCTCAACTGTACCAGAGCTTGCCAGGAGCACCTGGTAAATGGCCACATGGTCATGGAAACCTTCGTGGCGCTCGCCTACAAGCACCTCTCGCCCGAGCACTACGCTTTCAAGCTACTGGGGCCGGTGAGCGGCGACGTGGGCTTTGTGAACCGCTCCTGGGGGGTGGACCCTCGCATTTAAGCATGGTGAGATGGCCTAAGTGAAGGGTTCTATGCAGTATCATTCCGGGGTTGATGTACATTGGAGACAATGAGAGTCGCGCAAAGCACAGCATCGACTTCCGGAGCAGAGGTCGTTACCCAGACGGCCGCATGACATACTCAGAGTTTGCTGGTCTTAGGCCCCTAAACCCTAAACCCTAAACCCTAAACCCTAAACCCTAAACCCTTAGGTAGTGCCCCAGCCTTTGTGTCCACAGTGTGAGGCCCGCTCTTCTGCACCCGAAACCTGGCTTGAGCTGCTAAAGAGCCGCCCAACAAGCCTGGTTAGAGTAACTACTTATATTATTCTGCATGGCTCCTAAATATGATTGTTGCCAGGTTTTGATATATCCCAACGCCCCGCTCTAATTTCATGATTAAGGCCCCTTGTCTTGCTTACAGGAGATGCTCGTGAACGGCCTAAACCCTAAACTTAACCCTAAACCCCAAACCCTAAACCCTAAACCCTAAACCCCTAAACCCTAAACCCTAAACCCTAAACCCTAAACCCTAAACCCCAGCCCTAAACCCTAAAGCCCTGAACCCGGCCAGTGCCATTGA